CATTCAAGGTCGTGAGGTAATGAGGTTATAACCCATTTTATTGTGTTAAGTTTGTCTCTTGTGTAATGAAGCGTCTTCACTCCAATCAGGTCTCCTACAGCTTGGTGCCATAGCAATAGCTCCGTGGTGGCGCGTTAAAGGAGGAAATCAAAGGCTTCAGATCTCACAAGTGGTCTGGCACCTTTTCTAACAATGAATGCTACAGGGGCTGGCAGCTACCGGCTCAGTGTTCATCACAGACAAATACTGCTGCACTTATACTTTGAAAAACAGGTTGTTTCTTGTCTGAATATGCTCAAAATGTTTGAATTCTTTCTTTAAGACAGGCACTAAAACATATAGGTGAGTGAAGTCTGTAGGGCTGTTGACAGGGTGCACACAATTACAGGCCACCTCCGAATATTAATGCAATCTATTACAAACAGCTTCAAGCATTACTGTCAAACTTCTTTTCACAGTGTGAATAAAATCTCAGTATTATAGTCTTTACCAGCTCGAGCTTACTGCAAAGCTGTTGCATGGGACTGCACTGACCTACAGGCTACAGTTAGTGTTGCTGTTGTCTCATGTCATGTCATCATTGTGTCCATCGCCCTCCACGTGGCTGCAGAGTGAACAGACAGTTTCAGATCACATTCATGAAGCTCTCATCTTCATCTTTGCTACCTGAAGCAGGTAGTTGACTCATCTGCAAAGCTGTTTACTTATTCAAGGACTAACTGATGCCTCCAGTCATCCAATATACACATACTTGAAGATGTGACCTAGAGAGGAGGCAACTGACTATGCAAATATAGACAATAAACATATTTCAAGGCTGTCTCACACACAAACAACCATTCAGTCATGAACTTTGCCTTATCAAAGTAAAAAAGGGATGAAGAATAGAGTCTTTATGATGTCAAACTGATTGTTAGCTAAACCTGCACCCACTTAGGCTGCGTTCCCACATACAATAGTTCATTCCTTGTGAAAAATTGAAGCCCTTCTCATTCTTTCTTGACTGGGGAAGTGTGGGGCCCGGCTCTGTGGAGGGCTCCAACAAAACTGGGCAGTGCTGAGTGGATCTGGTTCAACTTTTTCAAAGCAAAGCAACATGATGCCACCCAGCAATGCATAGTGATGGCCAGTCACGTGCATGCAAGCATGCTTTCTCAGTTACTTCATAATGTGAACGTCACTTTTCTGCTGTTTACCTTGAGCTCATCACAACCAAAGATAAAACTGTTGCTGCTGTGATAACTTCAAACTGTTGTACAGTCCTGTCTGGGAACCCTACGATCCGCTGCTGTGTTTGGCATCTAATAAGCTTTAAGCACATAAATCTGTTCCTCCAGCTGGACTTCCCTGATCTCATTTCGTTGTCTCACCGGTACACGAAACAGCACACCCCCACCAACGCTGCAGGGGAGCTGTGCAGTATTAAAGCAATCTATGTGTGAAATCAGCCTTACAGTTGTATATCTGTCAAGCTTGCTGGTCTGGCACAGCACAGATGCTAACTAGCCTACAATTTACTGTAAGACATTTCTATCCCTATGTGTTTTGGAAAGGTAAACTAAAAACACAGCACTCCAGTGAAAAAAGGGATGTCAAACAGGCTGCAGCGCTCCTTAGAGCCACATGCACACCCTTTCAGCGTGCGAAAAATCTGGTTCAGTTGATAAACTTTGATTGGACAGTCACTGTTTGGGGCTTTAGTGAAAGGTCAAATGTTATTTACTTAAATATAAAGACACAAATCTGTGGAAATGTAAACCAATGAAAGTGGTTCATAGTGTCTGCACTGTTACACTGGCACTCTTTAAATAAAAGGTTTTCTTGCATTACTTTTTGGTGTCATCTAAGGTGTGAGGGTGGAGCTGCACGGTGCTGCTGAAATACAGGGAGCAGCATCCACTAAGATTAAAAAGGCAGTGCATATACACAATGTTATACATCACATGCTCATGCAAAATATTACTATGTGTTTTTTAAGTGGGCATTGTGAACACCTTTTATAACCTGGAATGAATGGTTTTTCTCTCTAGAGAAGGGTCATGTTTTCTGTTACTCAGGTTAATGCTGAGTTATAACTCAGTTCAGGGGTCATGTGTCCCATTAGATGCAATCAAAGTGAACAGTGCTCTGCATATCTCAAACCAAGTGCTGGAAACAATCTGTGCAAAGCGCTCCACTGTTTAGAGAAATGTGTTCAATCACACCTCCACACTGTCCTCTGAAATGCCAGTAGAAAGGTCAGAATTAAGTTTGGAATTCAACACAGCACACCTGTCTCTGCTGTGCAGCTTTGAGGACAGTAGGAACTTGTGTTGTTTAAATTCTCCTTTCTGCTGCAGTTTTGTCCCACAGCTACACAACCATAAAGCTCACAGAGTGTAACGTTCTCCAGAAGACCTTCTGTCTGCCGCCTAATCAAATTCACATAGAGCGGAGAAATATGCAGTTTACTTAAAATGACTTTCTGGCAGGATCTTTCTTATCTTGTGAGCAGTCAGTCTGGCAGCCGGAGCACACCCGAAAACAAATCAAGCTGCAGTGGAAGATAATCTCCCAGCAAATCGCTGTAGGATCAGATTCATTAGAAGAGGGTATTACTGCTTTTTCAAGCCATAATTTGACATCAGAAAGCAAGATTACACACAGCGCTTACATTGCAGACAAATACATGTTGGAGTAAAGGTCTTTAGAAACCTTCATTAATGCTAACGATTACTAATGATATGGATCACATGTCTGTTTTTATTCAAATGTTTGTTATTCACGGAGGTGTAGCGCCCCGTGTGTATCCTGCACCACCTCACATGACTATTAGACAATCATAGGCTGAAGCCAAATTACTGAGCCAGAGCCATGTAATCATGTCATTACAGAGAGAGTTTTTAAAATGTAGTTATTATTTCTGAATAGAGGTTGTACAACTGTATGGATAACCAGCAATCAGCTGCACTATACAGCATCAGTTCAGCCTGTTTGCTCATGGCTTTGAAAGGGTTTTTAGTTTTTTTATGTCATCACTGCCTGAAATATGTTTAGATGGCACTTTTTTGAAAATGACCATTATGACCATGACCTGTCCTACTTCCAAAGAGTCAATGTGCACATTATGTGGGTATCACAACATACATCTGTAAACATTTAATATTCACTTTATATTTACATCATTTTGTGCATTTGAAACTTTACATTAAACTTTTCTCCAAAGACAATGATTAAAAACTGCACATGGATATTTCAGCCCAAAACATAAGAATTAGGTTCTGATGCACAAAGTAGTCCCTGCAAAAAACATAAAAAACATATAAATACATTTTTACAGATTTTTCACAGTATAATGAGAAGAAATGTTATGATGTCTGAAAATCTGAGACAAGTACATGCAAATGCAAACATACTCATTTCAAGACTTTTGTCAAATCATCTTCTCGATTCTCAGGGAACCGTTTGAAACCTTCCACCAAAACAATGATGTCTGTACAACAGTCCAGTTACAAGTCGAACTGTACCAGGAAAAACATTTGCTAAAATGGATATTGAGCTGCACAGACTGATCCATCCTGAACTATTAACAGTTTGTTTTACATTTCATCATTTATTAAATGAAGTTTTGGTCATTTATTTTCTACAGATACTAGTCATTTTGGACACGTGACACAATATGATTACTGTTTTTGTGATTTTTTCCTGTTTTCAGTTAAAGACACTTCATCACAACCTGGCGCTTGTCTCCAATATGATAAAGTCCTTTTGCCCATGATGAGCTGAGAAAACAGGGCAAAACATATGAACTGAACTTGGGGTGAAAATACAAAGTTACGTGCTGATGTGCGTACTGTGGCAGCGTTGGTAAATAAAGACGTGTGCAGCCTAAGCAGATGGACACTTTCCAACTCTGACACATTAAATGAACAGAAGAAGAAAAACTTTCACAGTAATAACATCAGATATGGAACAAACCTGACGCTACTGGCTCTGCTCGTACTGAACACCAAACCGACTCAATGCTGCTGGGACATACGGTTCTACGACCACATTTATTATGAACATACTGCACATACAATATCTCCTTGAAAAATAGACTGTAAAATAATTAATCTTCTTGTGCAACACTGTTAAAATAAATGAAATGTGTGTGTGTGCACACATCACTTAATGCCAGCTATGGTGGCTGGAGTGTGTTATTGTTAGTGTATTAGAAACATTTTGTGCTTTTCTTAAATGTTTTTCACTTCTTACTTAAATTATACATGTAAATAATTATTTGCAAAGACATTTTTATGATCATTAATGGGATTAATGACTCATCGTGTGTCTTTCTGTCACCTTCCATCTCACTGCTTTACTGTTTGTGTCTCTTTTAATTTAAATAAAAGCAGCTAGTGCATGCTAACCTAAAAATTATACAAAAGAACAGCAAGAGCTCTGAGTGGCCAAATGTGCAGAGAGGCTTTTCCTACCAAACCGGCAAGCGAAAACAAGGAATCAAGCCTTTGATAATAATATTTTCTATAATCTGAATACTAAATGAAGTTATACTAAAACTGCAGTACTTGTTGTGCCACATCCCGGCTTCTAAAGTCATTATGAGTCAGCTAGTGTGAGCATACACAAACATACAGTAAGGTGCACAAATGTAGGCACAAAAATATCAGGACTTAGCAAAATAAAGTGTCATAAAAATAGAAAGGTGATCAACGATGCTCAGCCCTGTTTCCCTTAGCAACATGAAGTGTGATACACCCTCTAGCTGTAAATATACAGTCGGCGTGTTGAGCTGCACCATTTTCATCCCCACCTTTACCTTTGTGTTCACATATAAACCAATTGCCCATTGGGATAAATAAAGTTGACTGAAGCAGTAGCAACTGAACTATTAGTAGCACTTTTGATGGCTATGTTTAGGCACTTGCAGCACTTGGGAAAGATTGTGGTCTTTGTTAAATACTGACAAAGGAAAGCGGTGACTCGGAGCACAGTACTCTTTTTTTTTTACCTTAAAGGATAAGGCCAGAAATGTTCTATATTTTTATTTCCAAAGCATCCCATACAGAGACTAAAACTAACATTTAATTCTGTGTGCTCATCATAGTGCACATGAATCCAGAGCCTAGTTCAGGTTAGTGCAAAATCACCAGCCTGCAATACTGTAAATGTGGAGTGGGAACACTTCATAAACAATGACATACCACATATTATCAACTTGTTAGTTGATTGTGAACATGTTAGCAAACAAGAGCAGCACTAACATTATGATGAATGTAAATCTACAGTTCACTCCTCTTTCAGCTCAGTCTTTCTCTCTACCAACTCCTGGGGGTCTTTAGCTGCTAAATGCTCCACTAGCTAGTTAGCCAGTTAGTTAGCTAGTCATGAGTGTTAGGCTGTTTGGTGAACAGCAGTGGGTTCATCAGAGCTTTCTTGACTAAAAGCAGCTGCTAAACATGCTGCTGATGAGAGCAGTGAGAGTAAACTACAAAAGATGCTCAAGTTCTCTAGGAACTGTAGCTAGGAAGCTGGGAGGTGTATCTCGCCCAGTTTGATCTGCTTGACCCAGTTTGACCTTCCAGGTCACTGCCACTTCATCACTACCACAAGGAAGTGGGAGAGCAGCCGAACAATGCCGAGAGGAGTGCTACTACTGTGGGGAGCTGGGACACATCGTTCCCAACTGCCTGGCACCGGCACCACGGAGTCAAGCGCCCCAGCTACACGCAACTTGTCACAGCTGAGGATCAGCCGTCTGGACTGTGAACTGAATGGCACCAGATGCCACACCTTAGTGGACATGGGGTCCACCATTTCTCTGGTGCACCCAGGGGCACTGCCAGGGGAGAGAGGGCAGAGACCATGGGACTGGACAGCTACTCAGCTCCACGTCACCACAGTGACTGGCTGCACCGTTGAGCACCGGTTCCAAGTTGGCCAACATTCAAAATCTATGCATCATCAGCCTTGACCTGCTGGTGGAGTGGGGGGCCATGATGGATGTGCCTGGGACTGTTCTCTGGCTTGGTCCGGATGCCGTGACTCTCCACACTGCCAGTTAGGAAGGGCTGCGCCTAACCACGACACTGGAGTGACCAGCCAGAGGGTAATTTACACCACCAGGGCCAGACAAGGGCTCATCCACGCCTACGCTGCTTTGTGCACTGAGACCAGGCGAGCTGGCGAGGGCTCGTACAAGAGGCACTCCACAAGGAAGACGTTCTGGCACAAGAACCGAGACATCACCACAAAACAAATTGGCGTAGTATAAATGTGAATTCTAGGAAATAGGGTAAAATGAGCACTATAATTCATCAAGCAAACTATCTCTGTCAGTGGTGAGTTTAAATGACTGAACATGATGAAATCTGGCTTCTGATTGTGGATGGTTTTTACCACAGTGGATGCCTGGACACAGAAGGCCTCCTGCCCCCCTACACAGGAGCAAGACATTCAGATTGAAAGACACTGTTTACGACACCTAAACATTCATTTTGATCACTTAGTGTCACCTCCCTTTGTAGTCATTTGGTGTCTCTGTGGTTGTTTTGTGGCATCTCTCTGTGGTCAATATGTCTCTTTGTAGTTGTTTTGTGTCTCTTGGTGGTCTTCTGTGTCTCCTTGTGGTTGTTTTCCATCTCTTTGTAGTAATTTGAAATAGTTTGCTTGGCATCTCTTTGAGGTCTTTCCAAATCTCTTTTTAGTTGTTTGACATCTTTAGTAGTTCTTTTGTTTCCTTTTGTAGTTGTTATTCATCTCTTTGTAGTCGTTTGGTGTTTCTTTGTAGTTATTTTGTGTGTCTTTATGGTCCTTTTATATCTCTTTCAGTGACACTTTGCAGGTGAAGCCCATGAGGGCCCTGAGCCTGTGCTCTAGCCCCTTTCAGTAGTCCATTCATGCCTCTAATCACTAAACAATAAGTGACATACATGAATCCCCATTTTTCCATCAGGGAACTTCACATGGAGCTTGGTTGTCAGTGATCTACACCACCATCATTCTTCTTCTTGTTTGACCAGCATTTGGCCTGGAACAGCAAGCTCCAAACAAAATACTAACACCCAGCGATATGAATACTTTGGTGATGACAAGTCATACAAGTAACACAGGTATTTACACTTAACACCCAAAAGGCATATGTACTTTAATGCAACAGTTGTCATGAAAAAGATCAGTATGCTAAACATATTCTGATAAGTCAAAGTTTGAAAAGTACTTTTAGGATATTTTAGTGTTCCTCTCTGCGGCTGCTTGAGTGACATGAAGATAGAGTAGCGATAGGAAAAATTTCAGATCTCTTTCATCTGGACGGGGACTTGGCACTTCCAGACAATCAACGATTTCCAAAAGCTTATTTCCTCTTTCTCTGTTGTCATCCTTTTCCATCTATCAATTTTCAATCATTTGGCAAGTTTCAACCAATGCAGCAGCAGCAATGTTTTGATTATATTGTGACAGCACGTTATGAAATAGTCACTAAACTTAAAACCTTTTTTTTTTTTTTTTTTTACAGCGGGAACACAAGAAAGCCAGAAAATGTTGAATACTGCCATCCACCAACTAGGTTTCCTTTCTCCAGCTTTAGGTAGACTTTGTCCTCCTTTTCTAGGTAAAGAAGAACTCCGTTGGTGGCAGCCTCACGAGTTACGTCTTTATCACCCGCAAAGGCAGAGATGACCGGTTTCCCATTCAACATCAAGTTTACCTGGACAGCCCGACAGAAATAACAATTAGCAGCAGTGAAGGAAAAGGGACAGTTTAGAAGATACTCATGTTTTAGCACAGTTTAACTGGAGCTGATAAAATAAAACTCGCCTTGCAACCGCTAAAGAGTACTTATGATATATCAGATTAAAAAGGAGTTTCAGGTTTGCCTTTGTCTTACAATAAAGTGTATATTCTTTGATGCATAAGTTAGGTAAGCAAAGGAAAAGTGGTGAACAAACCCATGGCTAGATTCATACTGAGGGACTGTATGCAAATTATTAGGGAAGGAGATGAGTGTGTATTTTCTCTTTTGGTGGAGTAGTCTGACATGTTTGGGGTGAGCCTCTCTTGTATACTTGGGTAAATTTGAGTTGTATCCATATTGTTATCAACTCCGCCCAGGAGGTCATGTTTGTACAGGTGTTTGTTGGATTGTTCACAGCTTAACTCAAAAAGTAATGAATGGATTTTGATTAAATGTTTTGGAGAGGTAGTGTACGGCCCACTGATCCGGATCATCATTTGGCTCCAGGATTTTTTTTAAAGGATTCCACACTTTGTGAGACAGAGCCATTTCAATGTTTTGCTTCTAACGCCATACATAATGCCCAGAGTGCTTGTACAAAACACCACAATATCCCCATAAGCTCTACCACAGAATAAACCAGATCTAAGCGACATTCCAGATGTGGTGATCCAGAATGATCCCATTTATAGGACTCGTGGAAAAGTCACTACTGTGGGACAACACATGAAGCCACAGACTTGCAACTAACATCAAATTGTAGTTTAAACTCTGCTGACTCAGCAGAGGGTCGGCCACTTTGAGAGCTGCTGCGGTAGATTTTGAAGAAAATCTCCAGTATTAAAATATTTTTCTTGAATAACTTTCCAACTAATAATGACATCAGTGTGATTCCATTTGCTAGGGGCAGGTTGTCGTGGTCCATGAATTGTGTTATGAGGATGAAACTATGAGGGGAATTCTGCTTTTAGGTGTAATGGCATTATGAGGAAAACTGAGCTGTCTTGGCGGAGGTGCTCACCCTCTGAGTGCTGTCTAGGGTTATCTTATATTTAAGTTTTTTTAAGTCAGAGAGAGGATCCAGCCAGCTGAGAGAGATGGTTCAAATCTCCTCCCCAGTCCCATAATTTTTTTACAGTCCCTAAAGAAGAGATTTTGCTTTAGTCTAATACTAAGACAGGTTTACTACAGAATCAACTGCACAGCTCTGTGAAATGCACAACAGTGATACCTGTATGGTTTGACTCTGGTACACTTTAATGACATGGAAGTTAAAACTGTAGATTCCTTTTCTTGGCGACAAAAATACTGATTCAAATGTGAAGTAGTTTCCTATATTCACAAGAACCTGAGGGAGGGAGAAAAACACACTGTGACAAAGGTATTATACAGCCAGCATTTCAACAAAGGCTTTCATTTCAATGGGGCTTTAGGATTTAAATATGTAAATAAGAAATCAGCCATGCACACATGATTCACTGCTGTGACTACCAAGCATTTTTCCTTTTCAGACACAAACTAGGTGCAACACACTTCAAATAAGACTGAATTAAAAATTTCTTCTAAGTGAGCTTTCCTGATCCACAAGATGAGAAAAATCTTGTCCAAAGATTTCTTCTAAAACAAATTCCACTTTGGGGTTAAATAGTAGGATTTTTCTTCCACATGTTACAAGACAAGACAAGATGCTTTCCTTATACTGCAAGTGGCACCATAAACTACTGTTATACACTTGATAAATAAAACTATTTTCATGCTTCTTCATTATGTCAGTCAGCACATACAGCAAAGCACCTCAGCCTTATTATCTGTGGTCACACAGAAAACGTGCGTTATGATTGAAGGCAGCAACAGAAGCTCCTCTCAACACCTGCAGGCTCAGATTCTTCAATCTCACCTGATCAAGACATCCCTGTAGGCTCAGCCAGAACCTCTGACTAATGTTGCTTTCATAGCAACAACATGCACGCGATGCACACCAATCAGATTACTGGTTGTGCGTTATGACAGCACCAGCTCATGTTATGCAATTCAAATGAAAGGGCAGAGGATCAGTTACTGCTGCAAACACCTTACGCTGCCCACCGCTGTATGACGAATCCAATTCTTGTTTGCGCTGTTGCTTGATTTGTTTGGGTGCGTTATGTAGGTGAGGGTGTGTGCGCGTGTACGAGCGCGCATATTCGTGATAGGGGTAGTTTGAGGCAAACTGATTAACGCAGGTTGCTGGCTTTGCAGGACAGACGCCGTCAAACATAACCCGGTCGCTGCTCGCGTGTGGAAAGTGCGCTTGCTTGCAAAGTAACCACCGCATCCAGCTTCAAACTAAACTCAGGGGTCAGCTACACTTAAAACTGGAGGAACAGTTTGATGCTCTGCATCACAAGTCAGAACAAAGCAAAAGGTGGAAGCTTAACCGCAAAAAACAAAAATGAAACACAATCTAGTACCAAATGTCAGGTTGGCTGATTGGATGTAAGTGCTAGTAAAAACGAACTTTATGACATCAGTATTGTTTAAAATTTGTGTCAACCTGGTCGAAGTAGATTATTCTTGTCTTGTTGCTCATCTCCGATGGCTCGTGGTTGTTGCTCCGGACTGCAGAGAAAGCCACCTTGGAGTTGGCGGCGCGCACTGAGATGCCGAGCGGAGAGGACGAAGCCTTCCAGTCCGTGGTCGGGTTAGAGTCGCAGACTACGAGGCATTTGCCCTCCAGGACAATCGGCTCCGTGTCATTCTGAGCTCTCGCCACCTCAGAGATCACAGTCCAGCTGAGTATCAGTATGAGGGAGTTCACCATGGCTCTCTGTCTGTGACAGCTGTGGCAGCGTTGAGTCGATGCACCACACAAGTTTCCGAGTCCCCTCACTGGTCTCCCCAGCTGCAGACGCGTCTGACGCTGTGAACTTCTCTTACTGGGTCCGGAGATGTGCCATATCCGAGTGAAACATCAGCAAAAAAGAATCCTTGTTAAGTCTAAGCCTTCTCTTTCAGCTCAGCGATTGTTGTCTATGCGTCGCATTTTCAGGTAGGCTTTATTTAAAATCTGGTGGATGAGACCATATGAACTGTTTTAGAGAAGATTGTTCCAGCCCGAGAAACGAATCGCTCGATAAGTCGCCCATATCCTTCACTCCCACTCCGAATAACGCGTCTGACAACAGCTGTTCCCCGCAGTGATGTGCTACGTATGTGCGCGCCCAGCCATCCACTTTACGCACGCATATGTGGTAGAAGTCATATGTAAGGACCCGCGCTTAATATGCCAAAACCTCATATTCCTCTAATTCTCTGTCAAATTGCTTCCGACCAAAGTGTACATTCATTAATTATACGACCACACTCATGTCTGACTATTTATGAGATCCAGGGACCAACGGTTCACAGTTCTTCAGACAGTTCTGACGGTTTTCCAGTTTTTAAGTGTCTCTGTAAAACTAAAAGTACTGAACTGAATCTGGCCTCAAGCCAGAGTTTTACTGTGTTTTGAAGTCCCCTGTCCAGTCTGGCTCTAGGTTTCTGCCATGACTCATCATATTCTTCTGGCATATGTGGGCTGACAATCTCTCAGGAGACAGTGGCGGGGCCTTTACTACACTTTATGTTCATCCTGGTGACATCACCCCTGGTCCAGTATTGTCTTCACTGTCAGCACAGTCTCATGTGTCTCTTGTCTCACTACAGGTGGATGGCAAAACCTTGTCTCGCCAAATTACCCTAATTTCTCATATGAAGTGGAAATAAATGCCCATTGTGGCAATGAAACGGGCAATGGGATGTCTGATTTATGCATTTATCAACCACTGTAAATGGCACCTCTGTCATCTTATGGTGCACTAAATCAACAAGTCACCCAAAGCCTCTGTGAGAGTATTGAGAGGAGATTAGAGGTTGAGCCCATCACCTCTGTCCCTGAGTCGTAGGCTGCCCATAAAACCGATCAGTTGTAACGTCCTTCCTCTGACTTACAACGTGTGTGTGGTCTGACTCCATGCAGACCAGCTCACTGCAACTGATCAACTGTTACAAATTTCTTTTGAGTTGTAAAATCCTTTTGGCAGGATGTAACACATTTTAATATTAAAATCTAATAAGCTCTGATGTTTTCCATTACACAGATGTTTGCCGTCACTCTGAATGGCAAAAAAATTGGCAGTGATTCTACTGATATCCAGATTTGTCATTTGTAAAGCTCCACTTGATATGTGTTGATGATAAGCTGTACACAACTGTATGTGTTTCATCGTATCACATTCATTGTTTATTAGTGAGGCTCATTCATTTGGTTGTTGGCTGTTTCAAACTGTAATATTTCATCATTTTAAACAGAGTACTTAATCAGTTGGTGTTGTCCATCCACAAAGCTGCATTTCTTAATGAGAAAACAAATGAATCTATCTATCTGTCTGTCTGTCTGTCTGTCTATCTATCTATCTGTCTATCTATCTATCTATCTATCTATAGACCTTTGAATGCCACTGTACACATCTGACTTCGTTTGTCAGTCACTGTGTTGTTTAAATGTACGAGATCTGAGGATATCGCCACCACAACCTGAATATCTGATGTATGGTTCAGCATCGTGCATGTCAATATGTTTCCATGGCAATAGAGTTTTGGGAGCTGAAAGGTGATGGCTTGTAATATGCCAAGAAACACTTTCTTTGGAAAACTTACCCGGAGAGACAGAGCAGTCCAACTTTCACAGTTTTTTGCTTTTGTACGTTTCTCAGATCAGAAATGAAATTCTCTGAACTACTTGTTCACCCTCCACATCATCCAGGCACTTGTGCACATCATTTAAACAACTTCTCACTGTTTTTGTCCCTTTGTCAAATGCTGTGGCACATTCATGCAGCTGATTCTGTACAACTGTCTGTTTTCTACATTATCTGCACAATGGTGCAGTGGATCAGTGGTTAGCGCTGTCGCCTCACAGCAAGAAGGTTCCAGGTCTGAGTCCTGGCCGACATAGGGCCTTTCTGGGTTCTCTCCAGGTGCTCCGGCTTCCTCCCACAGTCCAAAGACACACAGCTTAGGTTGACTGGTGACTCTAAATTTCCTGTAGGAGTTGTTTGTCTACATGTCAGCCCTGTGACAGACTGGCGACCTGTCCAGGGTGGACCCCGCCTCTCGCCCAGTGTCAGCTGGGATTGGCTCCAGGCCGTGACCCCATTCAGAAATAAGTGGTATAGATGATACAAAATCCAGATTTGTTTACAAGAACAACAACAGAACATTCCTTTGCAGATGGGCTTTGTTTAGGACACGTTTACTGTAGGTCTCAGGTGATAAACGCTGCTGAGCAGCACTGTTTGCTGGTATGTAATGTTTTTGTTCTATTTTCCTATAACTTTGTATCACGTGTACATTGTCAGTTTGATCGTTTATTTTATTTTGATCATTTAATTTGAAATACTCTTTGTCAGTAGCTTTAGTTGACCAGACTAGATTCCTCCCCAGAGTAGCTTTGCTGTAGTTCAACGTCTTCCAGTGTGAAGTAGTTTCCCCAACAATGGTGGTTATTGATTTGTAAATACTCTCTATTTGTAGACAAATGGTGTAAAATCCACTATAGATGGCAGTGTAACTTACTGTGGGAACCATTTGGTCTGATTTATTTATGTATTTATTTATTCTTACAATATTTCTACTTTATTCTCAGAAAATTCCGACTTTACAAAAAAAATGCTACTTTTCCGATATTAATAATAATAATCTGTAAATATAATCTATGAGATAAGATGGGCTGGGGGCCATTCAGTTGCCTAATGAGGACTTTAAGTTTGTGTAGCTGTTCATACTCTGATAGAGTGAATAACAGTGACAACAAGCTAAACAATAGTGTCCTCTGTTTTATGACAGTGGCACAAATTTGTGAGTCACATGTTCACAGCAGCTTCATATTTAACCACCAGATGTGGAACTGTTTCTTTAAGTAACATTTTGACCACAAAACTTGTTTTTGTAACAGAGTAGCGTATGCTGCTATTCAGTAAAATATCTGAATGCTACTTAGGGACGACTGTGGATCAGGAGCTACAGCAGGTCGTCTCCTAACTAGAAGATTAGCATTTTGATTCCCGGCCTCTCCAGTCCACGTGTCCAAGTGTCTTTTGAGCAAAACATTGAACCCCCAGTTTCTCCCGTTGATGTCACCAGTGTGTGAATATGTGAGTGCGAATGGGTGAGTGGCCAAATAGCGTGAAGGCGCTTTGAGTGTGCTGTAATGGATAGAAAAGCACTGTACAAGTATAAGACCGTTTGCCACCACTGTACGTATTAATCCTGCCGTGACGTGTCTTACATGGAGAAGTTGTTGAATGTTTTCCAACACAGCCACTAGTGACTCCCATGTGGTTAAGAGTTTCTCCCAGGAATCCATGCTGGAAATGTCACTGATTCCTTATTGGATTACACAGCTATCTGTGCAGTACAAAATTAAATTAGCAAGAGTGAAGCATACTGTCATAATCCTACATTCACTTTTTCATTGAGATGATTCTTAAATTGTTTGGGAGAAGCTAAGCCTGATCATTTTGCTGGGAACCAGGTAAAGGGCGATGGCAGCAGCATGACGAGGGACTATGGCCTTTTATCCCTTCACCGTACTTTGTCAGTCTGATTTCTGATTTTTTTTTCTTGTGGAAATCGTTATTTTTTAAATATATTGCAGCAGTCTTCCTCTTTCATTGAATGCCTCTGATGTGAAAAAAGCCCTGGTAGTTATAAAAACACCTTGGACATGACCTTGTTTTCCTTAGTGCAAGTGACAGCTGTGCTCCAGAAACTGTTTCACCATGGAAAACCCATAACATCGTCTCAAGCACTCGTGTCACAGCATAGTTCAGTAATTCACTGATTAGCAATCCAGTCAAAGCAAAAATTCTCTGTGTGTGCTGCGATCTGTGTTGCTACCAAACCCACCTCCGGGTGCGAAGATGTCTTTAATAATACTTAAAACTTCTTATCTGATAGGAAACAAATCACATTATTATTTCACCCGCTGCCTTCAGCAATTATTTCACATCATTTTATCATTTGCAAAATACAAACAAAAAGAAAGAAGAAAAATCACTGCAAAAGCCATCACTGGCTCTTGGTAAACCAAACACGTCTCTAAGGAATTTAATTAGCAGTCAAAAGGAGAGAGTGTATTCGCACATAACACACTGACCATGTCGGACAGCCCTGTCACATATAATGAGTGGCTTTGGTAATCTTTAAAAAGGTGCAGGCTCATTCTTACACTGTGATTGTTTATACCTTTACACTAATTAAACCTATAAAGCCATTAAACAGGCACCAGGCCAGAGGCCATCAGAGATAGCACCTGTCAGTCATCGGCAGAGGCAGCTGCTATCCGTCACAGGGATTTTGCCACATGTTGTCTGAGGAGAGATTTTCAGATTTTGGCTAAACAATTTAGGTCTGTCCAAATCAATATCACCCGGACTCACTGTTCAATTTACTTTGGAGTCTTAAGCTTAAAAGCTACAGTAAAAGGCAGCAGCAAAATATTGGAAGATTGCTGCTTCCTGTGAGTTCAGCCTGAACTCACAACAGTTTTAACAAAGGTTTTTAAAGCAGAAAGGAAATTATCAAAGCATTCTTCAAACCACTCTGTGGCACAGTCTCCCCTGCTGTCTATCTGTGTGCTCAGTATTTTTCAAACACTAAATTTACACCTTCAGCCTCGACCCCTGTGGACTATTTTACCTGGGCTATTGATTAGCTGACAGGTTTTAGCTGGGGGGACAATACTCAGGGCAAAACTGAAATCCAACCCAACATGGCACCACATACAGATTTGCATTCAGTATGTACTCTATGTGGGCGTTACAGTGGCGCAGTGGGTAGCGCTGTTGCCTATTGTTCCAGGTTTGAGCCCGAGCCGACCCGGGGCCTTTCTGTGTGGAGTCTGCATGTTCTCCCTGTGCCTGCGTGGGTTCTCTCCGGGTACTCCAGCTTCCTCCCACAGTCCAAGAAGGAAAGGATGGAAGTTATTGATCACCTTGATTTTAGAGCTATAAAAACAAAAACTAGAAATCTTGGTGTCAAAAGCGACTCAGACCTGAACTTCACCCATTACCTCAAGGCCATAAGTAACATCTCAAACAAATAGCAAGACCCAGAGGTCTGATGTCCTGACAAGATTTAGAGAAACTCATTCATGCCTTCATCTCCAGCAGGCTGGACTATTGTATGCTCTTCCCAAAAAAGACTTAGACAACTTCGGCTCATTCAGACGCTGCTGCCAGAGTTTTACCGAGGACCAGGA